CCCTCCTTCCCACCCCTTTCCCTCAATCTCTCTTTGGATTTTCCATTTCACAGACTCCACATCACTTCACTCGCTCTTATGACAAACCCTGGCTGGTAAACAGCAAGGCAGGGACCCCTCTGAGGGGCCACGATATTGCTGACCTTCACCCGCCTGCTGCCGAGGTAGAGTATGGGTCTTCCCTGGGCCAGCGCCCGTTGTGGAAGGAGGATCCCGCCTGCTCTCCTTCCTCTGTTTTCACGCTTTCCTTGTTCTAAAAGTGCTTCGTAACACTTCCTTAACGCTAGGGCTGGTGCAGTTTTCACGGGCTTCTAACCTGGATTTCTTTAAACAGAGAAAGAGAAGTTTGTTCTTCGTGCTTTAAAAAAGATCGATAGAAAATATAATTCACAAGGTAGACGCTATGTCTCTGGAAGCAGATCAAGATTTTCAGGTGCCTCCAAATGAGGGGGATCTTGCAAGGTCTTTGCCACTCTCTTAGAATGCAAAATGAAAGAGGACGTCATGGCCAGAATCCTGTTGTGCACCTCTACCTGCCCAGTGGCAGTGATGTCAATGGCAGTGGCAGATTGATTAAAGACTTCCTTTTTAATATATCGGGCTGTGCACAGCTCACGCACAATGAGATGAAGTTGCATGCACTCTTGAAATCCGAAAAAGGAAATCTTTAGTCAGCAGCAGTCTGCGATAACAATGACATCATTCCTGTTGCAGAAGCATTAACCTGTCCAGCAGGATTTGGGCCAATAAAAGGGGGAGGTGGTTTTCTTTTAATATTAGGGTCAATGCAGAAAGCAGCCTGGGGCAGAGGGGGGAAGCAGCTGCATGTGCAAAGGCCTGCAGGTCATAGCATGTTAAAATAAAAGGGGGAAGGAAATGTGGGGTGGGGGGGGACGGAACCAGGCTGTTGCTTCCATGCCCTGCTTGTGAGCTTCCTGGAAAATTTGCCTGGCTAATGTTGGAAAGGGAGGCCTGGTTCAGAGAGGGACACCCACACACTCCTTCAGGCTGATAGTTCTTACAGTCTTGAGAAGGGAAAGCCCATGTGTCCTTTAAAACGAGAAGGTTCGCTCTCTTGAGCAGGAGGCCTGTATCTGGCCCGGTTGTCACCAGCTTGATTTATCTGGTTGCTGAACCAAGACAAAGTCAGGGCGATCCTCACCGTCCTCGGGTCTCCTGCAGTGGTTCCCAACCTTGGGGTCACCTGGAGGTTCTTGGACTGCAGATCCCAGGAAGCCCCCCCCCCAGCCCAGCTCGTGGGGAAGGCTTCTGGGAATTGCAGTCCAAGGACAGCCGAGATGCCCAGGGTGCGGAACCGCTGTTCAAGTGTTTGGTGAAAGGCAGTGGCATTTGGTAGGCTGTGCCGTCACGGCCTCAGGTCATCAGACAAGAGCTATCGGGGGGCCAAGGCTCGGTCTTGAGGACTGAGTCAAAGAGAGCTTGGACGTCCTTTGGCAGCCGGTACAAGCCGTCAGGTGTCTGTTCGGTGACTTGAGTGGAAAGCCAGGGGTGGGGCTTTGATCTGCTGCCTTGCCATGCTTCGGAGGCTCTTCCCTCTCCCACTGGGGGGGGGGGCACGAGGGGCCGGTGGCTTTAACCAGCTTGGCTTTCTCCTTGCCTGTGTGATCAAGGAGAGTGTCTGCAGGGAGATGCTTTCCTGCTGTTTGTCTGCCTCTCTTTTCTTCTCCCGCAGCACCTTAAAGGTCCCAGCAGGCGGAGGGAGGGTTGCGGGAGGGGGGGGGCAGCCAGCCACTGATTCGGCTGAGGAAAGACTTTGTTGCACTCGGGGAAACTTTCAGTCCCTGGGGATCTTGCTTAACCAACGCCGGGAGGGGGGAGGAACCTGGGGCTGGGTGCCCCCCAGGCAGGCGTCAAGGAGGGCTCCATTTCTCCTGGACCTTTAAGGTGCGGCCAGTGCTGCCATCTTGCTCTCAGAGTGCCGATTTCCTTTCCACCTTGGCTGGTGTTTGACACTGAATTGCAGCTTGGCTCAGCACAGGACAAACGCAGAACGTCCTCTTTTTTCCCAAGGTCACTCCAGCTTCGAGTAGCAAGCTGAAACGGCCCACCTTCCACTCCAGCCGCAGTTCCCTTGCTGGCGATACCAGTAACAGCTCCTCACCCGTGTCTTCAGGTGCCAAAAGCAGCCGGGCTGGTAAGAGCCGTGTCAATGTCCTTCCGGGTCGGGCTTTCCTTCAGAGCACTATATTTATTACCTTGAGCCTCAGCTCTCCTGCTTCCACCATGTGAGATTCATACTGGCATCTTACCTAGAATAATGCCGCCCTGATTTTTTTACGATATGCATGGTTGGATGGTCATTTTGTACCCGGGGCCTGATCTCCCCACTCCATGCTGAAAGTAGACTGGGGCGCCAGTCAGATGGCTCTCTTCTATCAACCCTGTGCTAAAGGTAGACCAGGCTTCTAGGTGGCCTTGGCGCCCAGTCTGTGCCTACCATATTAGAGGGAAATTGGGCCTCCAAGAATTCCTAAAGTACCCCATTGGAGTGAGATTTGGCGCTGATTCAGCGAGCGTTCAATTTTCTTGGAACACATCCCGAGCATCATGCAGGGTATTACTGTACTGGTCTTCCTGATGAAGTTGTCGTAATGGCTAGTGAAACGTGATGAACTGTAACACACCTTTCCCTGCGTTGTAGCTGTCACGGTGAAAGAATAAGCCAAGACAGTTGCTGTTTCATTCCTTTTATGCAAACTTGGTACTCCTGCCTATTCGCACAGCTAGAACAGCGATGCCTGTCCATGCATGCTCCTAGAAATGCCAGGCAGGAGCAGGAGCCTTTGACTGGGCCCTGAATAACAGCCTGGGGGGCAGGCGGCATGGTGCTTTTTAGGGTCCTGTAGGAGGCCTGAGGGGGTACCCCCACTCCTAGCGTGCGTACCCCAGGGTGGTGCCTGGGCGAGATGCCAGCAGGCGAGAAGGAAATGGAAACAGGGAAGAGGCCAGGCGGTTGGCTCAGAAACGGAGTGGATCGTTCCATAAATCCCACCCGGAGTTCCTTCGGCTGGGGTAATCTCGCTCACTGGTTTGATTTTCAGATCCGAAGAAAACCGCCAGCCGACCGACCAGCCGGGCCGGGAGCCGGGCCAGCAGCCGCCGGGGCAGCGACGCCTCGGACTTTGACCTCCTGGAAACCCAGTCGGCCTGTTCAGACACCTCGGAAAGCAGTGCGACGGGGGGACAGGGCGGTTCCCGGCGGGGCCTGGCTAAGCCTTCGAAAATCCCCACCATGTCTAAGAAAACGACCACTGCCACCCCCAAGACCCCGGGCCCCAAGAGATAAGACAGCCTGCGTCACGGATGCCCCGCCAAGAAGAGACACCTGGGTCCAGTTTTAACCCCGCTTCATACATTGGATGTATATTTATTCTACAGGGGAGAAATTATATTGTTAAAAGTGTAAAAGAACAGATGTGTTATGAAGCTGCCTTATTTTGTTCTGTTATAACTCTTATTTTTTTTCCTTTCTTTTTTTTGTAAGTTACTATTTTCATGTGAATATTTATGTAGATAAAACTTGCCTTCTGGTGACCTTCTTTGCGTTTTGGGGGGGCGTTGACAGGGACAAATGAAATGTGGGGGAGAACAGAAGCAAGCAAAAGGTCAAGATGTGAAAATGTAAAAACACAAAAGACACAAACATTATAAATAGGATTTCTGTGCAGTGCAGGGCGGCATCCTGCTTAATCTTTTAGGGTTGTTTCCTAAAAGCTTCTTTATAAAAACTTTAACTTGCTGTTTCAGCAAGGGTAAATTATATTTAAAAAGCAACATCTGAATATCCAACAGTGTTCAAGGAACTCTATAGCTCTCTCTCTCTCTCTCTTTCTTATTTTCTTTTTTTAATTTTATTTTAAATCATGGATACCTCAAGAAGAGAGAAACATGATGGTGAAGGGGGACCTGGAGCTCCTGTTCCCAGTTTTTAAATGAAATCCTTGTGGTTTTACCTGAAGATAAAGTGGAGTGAGTTTGAATTAATAAATAAACATTTGCACACGCTTCCTTCGAATAAAGAAGTTCACTGAAACCGCTCTGCTCGACTCAAGCCCGTTGAGTCACCGGGCTTTCCGGGGAGGACCGTCTGATGTTTGCGTGAGATTAGACTGCCCAGAAACCTCAGTCTGAAAAGTGGAGGGGTGGCGGGGCGCATGGCACATCTTTTTAAACATGGGTATAAAGAAGGTGTTTTTTTTTCTTGCCACTGTTGATGGTAAAAGGAAAACAGAACACACAAAACGCGCACAAACAGCGGCTTCCACTTTTTCCATTCACAAACTGCTCTGGAGCAAAACTGCATCATTTCCTTTTTATTCTCTCTTCTGGGGAAAAGGCCAGTCTTGGCCCACCTGACACATGGGGGAGACCTGTGTGCTCCAGAGAAGAGCTGCCTTTGACACCCACAGCCGCATGGAGATTGAAAACTTTTATCACCAGCAGCCCCCCACCCGGCACCTGTCTCCTCTCTCTCTCTCTCTCTCCTCTCTCTCCCCTTTCTGTACCCCCCTTTTTACCTTTCCTGGGGCAGGAAGAAGAGAGAGAAAAAACTAACGGTGTGATCCTAAAGCAAGGAGTGGGAGGGGGCCTGGCAGGGTTGGGGGGGGCAACCTGGTCTTCCTGTATTTATTAACTTCTGCTCTTTCCCAGCTCGGACTGACCATATTGCTGTGTGATTCTCAGTCGGTTTAATTGAGCCAGAACCTGAAGCTCTACCAATGAATTGTTTAAAAGGAGAAAAAAAAACTCTTTTTGTATTAAAATTGCTTGCAGTAATCCTAAGAAACGTGCTTCTTCTTTGGGCACTGCAGGGTAAACCAGGATTAGACCGGTGGGTGGGTGAGATTTTGGCTCCCTCGCGGACAAGAACCCAGCTTCCAGTTACGGGCTCGACAACCACCTAAACCCAAACGGGGTTTGAACGATCTGACGGCACAGGCAAGGCAGAAGAGTTTACCAGCCCTGGCATCGGAACGAACGCCCACCGGATAAGAGGAGTCCTTCCGACCCACCTTTTGCCTTTCCAAAGGATGCTTGCCCCCAAACAGCATCCCCTCTTTGTGTCTCTCTGTGTGTACCAGAAGTCTTAACCAGACTAGCCATTGAGGTTAGCATGGGGCCACAGCGGGGTGGGGTGTGGGTTGGGGGGGTTAGAGCAGAGTGGCCAAGGATCCATAGTATGGACAGCCAAAACCTTCGGACATCTCGGTGGCCCTCTTACATGTTGGGGCTGCAACTCCCAGAATGGATGGACAGTCGTACAAAATAGCCTTTTTCTGACCTCCAATGAAGCAGCCGCCTCAAATAGCAGGGCCACCTCTGAGTTATTTAAAAAACAGAGCTGTCTCTGGAGCGTCAGAGGCTACGCCTCTCTTTAGCGCTAGTTTCCCAGGCTAAACGGCTGAATCCCAAGTCCAGCTTGCAGGCGTCTTGGAGGTAGGGGTCCATCTGGTGACCTCTTCGCTGGGCAGGATCCAGGACCGTGTGGGCTGCGCATGAGGACTCCTGTTACTATATACCTCTCTCTCTCTCCCCCCCCCCACGTTAATGCTGTTATTCTGACTGCCTTCTTCCACATAGGCCTTCCAGACGGAAGGTGCTCCAGGCTCTACACACAAAACACACCAGAGATGCTTTTCTAGGCTGAACGGTGCCAAAAATTTGGCATCCTAAATTAAGGATGCTGATTGCACTTAATCAAGGCGGAGCGCTATACTTTCCGCATTCTTCCTTGGTTGTACAGGAGGGGAGCATCCTCTGAAGGGACCCTCTCCCCCCCCCCAGGTCTCACGGAAGAAGAGAGAGGTGTCTGCCTCAGTGGAGATGTGTCTCTCCCATAGCGGATGCCCAGTGTAGTGCAGTGGATGGAGTCGGACTAGGAGGCAGGAGACCTGAGTTTGAATCCCTGCTCAGCCATGAAAAATCACTGGGGAACTGTTTTTTTTTTTAAAAAGCGCCTTAAACATCTCGCTCACCTGGAAAGCCCTAACAGGGCTACTGACTTGACAGCACGTAACAAGAAGACAGCCACCCTGTGGGCAAAGTACCACAAAAGCCATACGATAAACTATAATACTGTAGTCTTTAATGTTTTTGTCTTTTTTATTGTTGATTTTTTTTCTTTGGTTTTTGCTTGATAGATTTATTCCAGTGTGAGCTTTTGGCTGGGACAAGATGCTTCTCAGGAAATGGACTGTAGTAATCCATGAAATAGAGACATTCATCTTGGAAATATCACGTACCTGTATATTTGTTTGTACATGCTGGCACCCACCAACAATGGCTTGGATTTTTGCCTGCCAGCTACACCAATGTGTATTTAACTTGCCCTGAATGGGCTGGGAGGGAACTTTGTGGTATTCTTCACAAAACACCCCATGGTGGTGTTTTTTTCCCTGTGTGGATTATTTGCAGACCAGGATGGCTTCACCCTTCACTCCAGGTCAATTTATTATTTATCATTTTATTTACAAATATTTTTATCCCGCCTTTCTCCTTAAGAAGGCCCTGAAGGCAGCTTACATCGTTAGAATATCATGTTTAAAATGGAAACCAGTAAGCATACAAATACTAAAAAGGATGAAACAAATGTCACTCTAAGAAATGGTAAACAAAAACATATGCAAAGCAGTAAAGCACAACCAGTCATTAAGGCAAAACCTGCCTGAAGAGAAAGGTCTTGACCTGCTTGGGGAAGGACAGCCAAGATGGGGCCAGGCTGGCCTCCAGTGGGAGGCAGTTCCAGAGTCTAAAGGAGCAGCCACCAAGAAGGCTCTCCTCTCCTGTGTCCCCACCAAGCGTGGGACCGAGAAGGCCTCCCCTGATCTTAGCTCTCAAAGAGGGAGAGGAGGTCCTTGAGACAGCTTAGACCCCAGCCTTTCAGAGCTTTGCAGGTTGAAACCAGCGCTTTCATATAAATAACATTAACAAAAAACAGATTGAAGAACATTTCAGATCTCCACAGTCAATTTGTTATGAGAAAAGTACTCTCTGGTTTGCTGTGATTGTCTGTGCCCAAGGGAAAAAAAAAACACAAAAATTTGTTGCACCTTGAATACAAATATACAACAACATAATGTGGCTGTGATCCATGAAAGCACAGGCCGTAATAATTAAATTAGTCATTAAACGAGCCACGAGGCTGTTTGCCGTTCCTTAATTGATTGCTGGGCTACAAGAAGCCACGGGGCTCTTCCCCCCCCCCCATGACTGCTGTGTTTACACAGGCCTTTGACAATATGTGGAGCGATCGTTGGAAGCCGAGATGCATTCGGTTTGTTTATGGATTGGATTCCCCCACTCCCGGCTCCTCTGGGCGGGAACACAACGGAAACTAAACCCACCGCCGCTTCCTGACGTAAGGTAAGGATCAGGTCGCATCACCTGCTTGCTTCTGGATGACAGGAGGGGGAAAGGAGAAGGGGGGTCTTGCTCAGCCGATTAGGGTTGTTCTTTTTCTTTGGGGGCGGGGGACATGACGTGACTCTCCATGCATTGTAGCTGCTTTCCGAACTTAAGGTACTTTCGTAGAGCCAGAAATGCCCGCTTGGCACTCCTCTCAGCTCGCTCGCTCGCTCACCCACCGGGTCCCGTGAGAGAGGGTGGGTGGTCATTTCTCACCTGCCAGTCAGGTCTACAGCCTCGTCTGCGTTGATCCCCA